AGCTCCCCGCCAGACACAGAACGAAGTGAATGTGTCGAATGTGAACGAACGATGAAAAGAAGGAGACAGACAATGTGGCTGTCCGCCACAGGTATGCGTGGATCGTGCAGACGACTACTCTTTCTGGTGCCAATGCTTTGGAGCCAAATTGCCCAAGAGCTCACGCGGATGACGAAATGTAGCCGTAATCAATTCGACTACGGGAAAACAGACCACCACAGGGAACCGTGTACAATGAGTGTGGGAGCCGATTAATTTGACAGCTACGCAGGCGTACAACGATGGCATGGTAGCTGCATGCTACAACACCTGAACGATTGGACAACGCATTCAGGAGCGGCCAATTAGGCCAGGCATGTAGTGCAACACCTGGGCAAACCAATACCCTCAGTTGGCTATGTCTTTGATGGCGGGTTCGAGAGAAAATCCCGACCATCAGGCTAGCAAAGCTCTTATTTCAACGACCGTATCTCTTTCTTTGCGGCTAACCTTCGGAACTTGCCTTTTCAGCAGAATTTACTATATCTCTAGCATTTCAAAAATATATTTCATGAAATGCTTAGTTTCTGATGAAGGAATCGCTATTTAAAATGATTGGACTTAAAGTGAAAGCTCTAAGGTGCATTTAAGGAACTTACGCTCTAAGAGGGTTTTTGCGGATGCCCTGCCCATCATTGTTGACATGGAGCAAAAGTACTCGCCAAAGTCCTCTTCCGCGAGGTTAAACACATGCAATTTGGACACTAGCACAGAGAATGGCTCCTCTGGTCGGGGACGAGATTCAACTAAATGAGAATGAATCTGACTGAGGTACGTAAATTATGAAGTCAGAGAATTAACTTAGATACAATGTTGACAGTAAATAACCATGAGAGTGAAGTGAATAACTGCATCAATAGTTATTTTTGGAGGCATGAGATAAAATCATCAAGTTTAGAACCTAGAAATGCGCCACCTGAGCCTTCATGTTTATCTATGGTATCTTTTTATCTAACTGTAGATTGCGGAGTATTGTCAGGGGAGAATTGATATGATGGGTGATCGAAGCTGGCTTCTTTGTGAAGCCAAAACTCTCGAAGCTGTGCTGTGGCAGAAAGTCGGTGAAACACGTATTTCGACTTTTATTTATAATCTGTGTTGTCACTATGGTTTATCATTTAACATGAGCCCGCCATCAATTTCATGGATTCTCATTTTCCAGATCAAATGATAAGAATATCCACCGTACAAAAGTGTCGTATATCCACTCCATTTCATACCTAGCATGAAACAACGCGCTTACATTTTCGTTTCTGTGTGAGAACAGAGGAACTACTGCAAGCCCTCCATATATTTCACAGGCGAACTATAGGAACTTAAATAATGACGCTTCTGAGTGTTACATCCAGCCAGCCTAATTAGGTAGAAAGTTGGATAGCGTAATAGATAGAATGTTTGCGTATATGTGCGCACACTGATTTTCCACAATCGAATGATTTCACTTTTTTAAGTATATACGTCAGAACACGGTAACGCCTTTAAATAAAATATACACATTTATTAGTTCCCTTCGTAGACCGACGTGATCTTTCTACGGAAGGTGACTTTATTATGCATTGCGTATGTTAAAGCGCTGCAGAGTTTATTTATATTTTGGGGATTGCTCAAATATAATAAGTTGAAGGTTACTGTCGATCTGTTTTTGACTAACAATATTGAGAAGAAGAAGACTCGATCGCTGAGACAATACGTTTATTTGACTTACATTTCGATATCCATCGCGGATTCATCATCAGAGACATGAGTAGGAAATAATAGCAGGAGCAGTATATAATAGTATATCAAAATTGCCAAATATAAAATAAAACTACACCAGTGGGTGCCGTGACTAGCTCAGTTTATGTTACCATGCGCGCTAAAGCCGCATATGACACTTCGAAGCACTTAGCTATCTATGAAATTGTCAGGAGAATTAAATGAATACCATATCATCCACAAACTACGGTGTTATTTTGTTTCTGGTTTAGTAAAATCAGGACATTTAGATGTAAAAAACGTTATTTTTAATATTTTTTGGTTTTTCTTGAGTTTAGCCGAGTTTTTTAATTCATTTTGATGTAAATACTATGTTCTGCCTCCTTTAATTCCGTTTAAGACTTAATTTACAATAGCAAGGTTGGTGAGCTTGTTGTGGCATTAAAAGAATCCCATAAAATTTATAAGGCATTAAAATCAAAAGAGCTCGTTAATAGTTGTCTTGTAAATATTACATTTAATTCCCTGTAGTCAGCTGCTATCGAAGTGGGCTAACACATACGCCTATGTTCTGTTAGCATCGGTTAATGATTTTACCGTAAACTAGACAAAAACTCTTTAAGTATTTATCTGTTTTAGTGGCCGTTAGGTCTAAAAATATAAACGTTACGGTTAAACAATTCTTACGTTCAACACATATAGACATGTAGGTGTGTGTGTGTTAATGGTGGGGAAACGTTCTATACATCCCAAAGTAGTCATACGAGCGACCGACAAGGGTGGTACATAATACTTTGAGGCTCTTAGCCACGATTTTGTCCATGTAACCCCACAGAGCTTTAACAGGCGATTTCCTAGGCCAGGTTCATAAAACTAGGCTTTGTCGGTGGAGTGCAGAGCGAAAGTAGACCGTTTAATTACGGTAAGTGCTAACTTCTGTCGTAATTCAACACAAAACTGTAATTACAGTAGATTTGAGAACAGCCCACCATTTCACGCGACCGTAAAGAGCCCACTTAATTTGCATCTACAATTGCTTCCCATTGGATACGTTTATTGAACCGAAAAAAACTGTGAAGTTTGAAAATGTGGCCAATACACAAAAGTCAGTGGGCAGCGACAAAGCTGCTCACAATTTTGCCCTTTATAGCCCTTGATGTAACATAAGTCATGCGCAGATTAACTCTCTAGAGAATTTTGGCCATGTTTTGAAGAAGTATAAATGAATTTGGACGGTTATTCTCTATTTTCCGAATAAATGCGTTTACGAAAAGAAAAACAGTTAGGAGTCTTTAATTGATCGCTTAATATTATAGTTGACATTCACTCGGAAAGTTATTTTGAAACCTTTAACGAAAAATATCTGAGTTTAAGTTGTTTTCCTTGACGGTCACAGACAATCTGTCAGTCCTTGTGTGGATGGCTACCAACAATTACGAATGCCTGTGAGGGACGGCTTTAACAATTAATTTCTGCCACAAAAATCGACAGACTCCCAAACTTATAAGTGTGCAAAGGTTTTTGTTCGGTCAGTGTATTCCATTCATAAATCAAAGTCTCTGTACCATCTACTTGCGTGTACTCCTGTATTCGAAGTCTAAATGAAGTTTCACAGTTTTCCTATGGACTTGCTGATGTTATTATTCAGGTGAAGTGGTTGTGCCTTCTAAGTGAAGGGAAATAGTTTCACGCTTAACTAAGTAACTTTTTTAAAACTGCAAGCATGGCAGGTCGACCGCAGGAAAGTACTTTACCGATCGCGAGTTAAAGGATAGACATTGGATGCTGTAGGCATATTTGTTATGCATTCAAGAATTTCGCCGTATATGCTAAACCTATATTTTTATTTGCACAGCATTTTAAGTGGCAGGACAGTAGGACCAATTCCTAATGGTAAAGGCGCTAGACTTTTAACCAACAAGTCGCGTACTAGAACCTATGGAGCCGCAATAGTTAGAGTTGGATAGGACTGGCTACCGATTGCAGCAAGTCGGAAGTAGCCATACTTGTCTCTCTGGTCTTTGTTAGGAATCTTATTAAGCTCTTGTTTATCTTTGCTGCCTTGCAAATGCCGTACATATAGAAATGTTCTAGGTCTAACTAACATGAAGACTTGTTTAACATCATTATTAATCCACTACTTATGGTTCTGATACGAATTCATGCAGAATAACTTGTGAAACACCTCACAGAGAAAGGCCCTTAACTCAGGTAGTGTACACTACAAACAGTTGCAAAATCCTTACTGTGCTTTAGAAGCATAAACATTTTTATGGTCCTCCTATCTTCTTCTCCACGTCCACTCTGTTAGGTTTGCATCCTACTGGACCATACGAATTTTTTTCCATATCTCCAGCATACGAAAAAGCAGACGTATTTATAGTTTGATAACTCCTAGTGCCCTTTGCATAATTTGTCAATCACTAGCTGCTCAAAAAACTGTGTAAGACAGCTATGCATCAGCTTATTTATGGTATTTCCCAACTTAAAGTGATCTATCGACTTACTTTGTCTTCTAGTAGGCAGAAGGATGATAAACTCGAACAAGGAATAAGTGCGCCTTTTCAAGTTTAAAATAAATATTTTCTTTTTTACGATCATTATATTACCACGTCATTAATGCCGAAACAAAGAAGAATCCATTAAAATACCTTCCTATATTTTAGTTGGAAATTCCTTGACGGTACGCACTCAAAAACGGTGACAGCGCACCCGATAACTGGGAAGTTAGAAAGAACGTATACTTTTAAAATACTTTCTTGTTTAATATTTCTGTGGGAGTACCAGTGTTTGCTTCACAAAGACGGGAGAAACTAAATTATATAAAGCGTCAGTTAAAAGATTATATTTTAAACTGTATAACGAAGACCACGAAATACCCTTCCAAATTTTTAGGCAAAACTGCTTTACTGTAATTGAATTATTTATATGCATTTAAGCTAATGGGTGGGACACACTGGAAGCCAATTTCAGTCATCCACCCTTCTATCAAGAGTGTGGTATTATCCACTTCCCTAATATAGACAATTACTTTTAGGTAAAGTATAGGAAACTTTCCTTAGCAAACTTACTTAAACAGTACTTTTCCTTCTTGTCCGTCAAAATACTACAGGTAGAAGCGTTGATCCGTTGCTTGTTGACACCAAAACTCCAAATTATATTGCCTAATGGATTGGCGTTTGCTGTACACTGAAGAACTGTATCACGGGCCAATGACTGTTTGATCAATGGGTTCAGCATGTCGATCTCAGGTGGAACTAAAAAACAAAATGAAAGTTGTGGTTATTCATTTCCGCTCGTTATAATGTTTATCGGAAAATGCAAATATATATTTTTTATAAACGAGCCACATAAACTGAATCCGAAACTTTAGCACTTAATGTAAAAACATTTAAACGATATAATCAGCAAACTGTCATCTACGCAGTGCTAAGAACATTAATATTTTTTCTGTTATGTATAAATATTTTAGGAAAACTATAAACAGAGCCCCATTCGCAATAGTCGGGCTTTTAGGAAGTTCCAAACCGATGACTTTGTCAAACAAATTCGTTTATTGCAATCATGTAGGCTTATAACTTACTTTATAATTAATCGGCCGCGTACCTCATATTATAAATTTTGGGAATGTTTGCTGTTATAAGAGGTAAGAATTGATATCCCCACCTGGATTCCAAAATAATTAGGCAGTATTTTGCGTTATTCACAGTAGAAGAAGCATTTCACAGTAAAGGCCGAATTTAGCCTTTTGTTGAATGGTAATTGTATCATATTTTATGTTTTTGGATTCCTCACCAGCCGCACGTCCTTTACACTTCTAAGGGAGACTTATATGTACCGCGGTGGATTGATTTCCTTGAAAACGTGAATGTTTAACTTAGTTTGGATGGTTCAAATGGTTTACTTCAAGGTTCAATGTAGGATCAGTTTCAGTTAGTTAGGGAGACACGTGCATATAAATTGAGATGCAGCAACCCTATCATTAGGTTCGCATCTAAGTAAACTGTCACAGTAAATGCTTCCTTCCTCTGCTTTCCAAAGAATATATTCCACGAGGGTCCACTTCCATTTTAAAATAAGTTTTACACAAGCAACCGTTTCTAATGGTGAGTAGCTTGAACGTTGGTAAATAGATATGCCTAGCAGCATAAGCTAAGTGTCGACCTATTTCTATCATTCTTTTAGGTATTGCATGGCCCTTTCGAAGCACGCACGACATAATATCTAGAGTACCGAGATAAGGATGGGTTATAGACCTCTTATCTAATTGATTACGGTTTCGGTGCCGGCTATTGATCGGATTTTCATGTCAGTATCAGCCATCCAAAGGACTTCGTATAATGCGTCATTGTATTCGAACATAAATATTATTTTAAAATAGCGTTTTGCTTACTTGTTCTCTTTTTTGCAGACAAACCTGTAAGATACATTACATAATCCGAACTTGAAAAAAAACGTCTTATAAAAATAAACTTCAATAGTAACAGTCGTGAGTTTATGCTGGTTGAGCTGATAATTCAGTTAACAATCAGATCCACTTTGTACTATAAGGCAATCCTTTCCTCTCGGCTGTTTGCAAAATCCGCATAAACCACTAAGGGTGAGGACATGCATGTGGATATCTTCTGGGTTTATAACTCAAATGCTCCCTTCCTTACCTATCAATTTTCTTCCCATAAATAACCAGAATTTGTGAATGCTGCTGCAACCGTGTATTTGGATGAACAAAACTGCGAATATGTTCAGTATTCTAGATTGTCGTTGAAATTTTGATACGCAGCGCGGACATTTTCTTTGTAAAAGCAACAGCAGCATCCGGGAATATAAGCCAAGGGAGTCGTACATCTCTTATCAGATTACTATTAGTTACTTTTAAGGGA